TCCCGTCGGATCGATAAAGCCGAAGCGCTGGCGGCGACGGGTCGATGGTTTTATCTGTCTCGGGCCCACCGCGCCCGGCGCGCTGACAGTCCGACCGGCCGGCAAAGGCGTTCAAGGGCAGCCGCGCCCGCGCCCTCCCCGCGCCGCGCCCTCCCCGGCCGGCGCGCGCCCACCGGACTGCGGGCGGGACCGGCCCACAACGCCCCCGTGATTTATCTGGATTTTTAATTGGAAAAAATTTGCGAATTAATTGATTTCAGGAACTTGCCAATTAACATTGTAATTGGGTGCGTGATAAATTCCCAAAGAGCATGTCAGCTCCCTCCGGGCTGATGGGCCGGCGGAGGCGCGGAGGGTGAGCAGCGCGCAGGAGGGCCCCTGCATGGACTGCACTTGCCCCTCCCCTGTCCACTCTCCGGGAGGCTGGAGGAGAGCGAGGGAAATTGTGAACGATGAGGCAAGAGATCTCCTCGTGCACCCTCTCCCTTTCCACCCTCACTTCTGTGAGCTCTGCCTGGAGCTGAGAGAGGCCTTGGGCTAGCCGGTTCACAGACGGAGAAACTGAGTCGTCCAGGATAACCCAGCTATGTGTGCAATACTCAGCCCCTGAGCAGAGCCCAGGGGAGAACATCTTTTACAGTGAAGGTGGCTCTTTCCACACTTCCCTCCTGTCTTTGTAGTTTCCTTCCCCGTCTTAAGTGGCCCTTGCCTCCTTCTCCACCCTGTGCCTCCCTCAGCCCAGCTTGCACAGGACTGTGTGGATGTTGCCGCTAGGGTGCCCAGTACCATCCCTTCCCTCTCCTGTGAGTTCTTCCTAAGGATGGACCTAGTGTTCTTTCTCCAAAGCACAGGATAGGAACAGTCTATTTCTATATACCTGAGGGTTCTCAGAGACCTTCCAGATCCCAAGCTAGGGCTGGCTGGCCTTTCATAGACACACACACACACACGCACACGCACACACACACCTATACACTACACACAGGTGTGCCCACACACATCTATTTTAACATACATAGATGAGCATATATGCACACACAGAAAGCACCACCTTCCCACAGATGCACATTCCCCTGAGCAAAAGGACTCAAAGGATTGAGAACAGTTAGAACTCGCAAAGGCAATGCACTTAGACTTTTCAAAGCACTTTTATATTCATGATCAGAGGCAATGTCCACACTTAGATACACATCGATATATACTTTCCACACATCTTCCTTTACCCGCTATTTCCAACAGACTCTCGGAATTGGCCAATTAAACCGAAAAGACACAACTAGATGGACAAATTGTTGAGGCCCTTCCATGGAGAGTAGTCCTGGATGTTATGGGGGAACCATAACATGGCCAGGACTGGATCAGAGAAAACTGAGTTGTAGAATCACTCTGCAGAGCAGTGTTGAGAATAGATTGAGGACAGAGACTGGACCTGGGAGACAAGAAAGGAACTTGGGTGGAGTCCTGGAGAAAGATAATTAGGCTCATCTAGGACAACGGCAGTAGCCATGGGAACAAAGAAGAGGGAATGATGAGACCTGGTACGGGCAGAAGCAGGAGATCTTAGTTGATTACTTGTTGAGTTAAGGAAGTTTTTTGACTTGAGAACCTGGGAGAGTGGTGGTGTCAGAAGAGCAAGTATTTAAGAGGAAAAGGAGATAACGGACAGGTTTCTAGATAAACTTAGCCTGAGGTCGGTCCCAGAATGTTGATGAGATGGGAATTGGACATATTGGTGTGGGTAGGCAGAGACATAGCTGAGAGCTGAAGACTGAAGTGTACTTTAGAGGAACTGTGTCCTCAGACTTCTCGGTGGCTCTCAGACAGGAGTTTGCATGCTCAGATAGGATTCCACAAAGCTGAGAAGTTGAGAGTGAGGCTTGGCTTGGCAGGACCTGAACTCATATCTGTGCTTTTGGAGACTTCCAGACCCACCAAAAGATCCAGCCTCAGTTGGGAAGCCACCTCTCTGGTCAATGCTTTAAAAGGGCTAGAAGACTCTTGAGGAGAGACAGAGTATGTAGTTAGAAGTGCCCCACCCCCACTTAAGCCTTATTTAAGGCCGGCCTCGGTGTTTGGTTGGGTAATGAACTAGATAAACAATTCCCCAAATAGATTAAAACGAAGTGTAACTTACAAAGGCGGCTGGTGATGATGGTTTATTCCCGGGCAGCACACCATTTCTCTATTTCCAAGGATAATTCAGTGTAAATCACCTTAATTAAAAGTGTCAGCCCAGCCCATGAATATTGTACTTAGGAACGCGTTTCCTGGGTCCCAGTTATAATTTAAAACCCATGGATCACTAGGCAGCGAGTGACTGAGCAAGGGAGGAAATCATTGGGGGTGGGCTGTGGAAACTGGGAGGGACGAAGGCAGCAGAGCTGATGGGCTGGGCGTGAGCCAGATCGCCTGCCAGCCTGCAGCTCCGGACATTCCATGGCAGGCCCTTCTTCAGACACCTCTAGTTTTAGAAGTGTTGTAGGAAGAGGGGAGAGAATGAACAAACTTGAAGGTGATCAGGTTGTTCAAAGAAGGACAGAATGGGGTGGGGGCCCTGCTCAGAGACAGAAAGAGTCTGGTAGAGTCCAGTACAGGAGAAAGCGAAGAGAGTTGTTAGGGAATGATCCAGAAGATTGGCAAAGCTAGTAGCTGGACGTCCTGACCCTAAATGTCCCTGTTTCTGTTCATCAGCAGAGTCAACTGAAGCCCAGAAGCAGCAGGTGGCCTCCCCAAAGTTGTATAATGAGTGGATACGAAAAAAAGCCATTCAGAGCTCCACCTTCCCTCCTAATCCTAATTAGGACTCACTCAAACTCAAGTCCCAGCCCTTCCACAATTATGCAGACATAGAGGTGTTACCTAACCTCTCTTAGTTAAGGTTGTAAAGGTTTTGTGAAGGTTAAATGAAATAGTATATATAAAGTATCTAACCTGTGCCTAGTGGTGCATGGTGATTATTCATTCCTTGTCTTCTTTTCCAACCTAATACAGGCTCAGATACTACTTACTGGTGAAGTCCAGAAGAACAACAACAGTCTTATACAGTAGATACCTCATTTCTGTAGGTCCAGGCATACAGCCCAACACAAAGGGGATGTCAGTACTTGCTTATTGAGTGAATGCAGGAGTAAAGGAATGATTAAAATAGTGAGCTCCCAAACTAGCAGCTCTTCAAGAGCATCTTGGTCTCCTCTGTACGTCTCCAATGCCTAAATCAGAGCCAGGCACAGAGTAGGAGTGGAAGACTCGCTTAAGGACAATATAATTGAATAGAACCTGGTCAGGCTGTCCTGACTAGGTCTGTGATGGTCTCACTGTGAGTTGGACAGGCAGATGTCTCTGTTGTTATGCCAGGCTTGGCCTCACCCTGCTGCTGAGCCCAGTGGCCTCTGCACTATGATGTTTGTATCTGTCTGTGAGAGTGTGTCTGCACTTGGGGGTACATACCTGTTCGGCATGTGTGTCAGTGCCCATGGGTGTATATTCAGATGAATGTGTTTATGCAGATGTAGATGCATGAGCATGTCTGTATCTGAGTCTGTGTGACTGTTATCAATGTGTCTTTATGGACATGTCTCTGTGAATATGGCTCTGTGTGCCTGTGCATCTGTATGCACATCTGAGCCTCCAGGCATGACCACATGTATCTTTGTGACTTGGCAGAATTATAGGATATATGGCAGAGTCTACGGGTATATGTGTATCTGTCTTTATACCAAGGTTTCTCAACCTCAAAACTATTGACATTTGGGGCTGAATAGTTCTTTGCTGTGAGAGACATGGAAAAAATATAGAATATCTTGAAGTATCCATGACTCCTACCCACTAAATGCCAGTAACAATCCGACCCCCCCACCCCCAACCCCACACACAGTTGTGACAATCAGAACTGCCTCCAGATACTGCCCTGGGATCAAAATCATTTCCTGTTGAGAATCACTACTTTACCAGAATCTGTTATGCCTTCTCTCACATATTGGGTGTGTCAAATGACCCCATGGGTGCTTGTGCACATCTGTGAGTGTCCCCTTTGTATATGTTTTGTGTGTCTATACGTGCCCCATATATTCTGCCTTGGGTGTGCATCTGCGTCTTTTGTGCTTTTAGGGTCTGTCTGTGGTGTGCCCTGTCTGTGTCTGTGTGGGGACCGTAGGTGAGTGGCTGTGTCCCCACACACGTCAGCCAGAACCTCTGTGTGCATAGATTTGTGTGTGTATGTGTGTGCGCGCACACAGATGTGAACATAGAGGGGGCAGCAGGGAGGGAGGGACAGGAACAGGGATATTAATGTTTCTGAAGTGGATCTGATTTGATACGTCTTGTTCCATTGTCAGCATCTGTTTAGCGGGGATTTGTAATACTTTGTGGCTCTGGATCACTCATGCTTAGCGCAGGATGTGGCCTTGCATACCAATTTTGTTATTAAACACAGTCCTTGCCTCCCCCACAGCCCATCCATCACCTCCCTCCCCAACCCCCGCCTGCTCCAAGCCACCCACCATATTTCAGGGCCTGGCTCCCTCCCACCATGCCCAATGCCGGAGGGCCTGGGACTGACAAATTGAATCAGGGGGAGATCATTCCTGGCCTAACGCAGTTTGTAGCGTGTTGGAGGGAGAATTGACAAGAGCCATGTCAGCTCCATCACCCCAATCCCATAGGAGCTAAGAGAAGGCTGAGGACAGAGTGGAGGGATGGGGCCATCTGGGACAGGCAGAATACTAACACTAGAAGTCAGGTAAACCCCTCTCTTGAGATCTGTTGATGAGACTTCCATGCAAGTGTGTGTAACCCCTATCCAGAGGTCAGCACTGGCCCTTGACTCTGATGGAAGATGAGCCAGACAGGGCCAGCTGGGTTTAAATGGATTTTGTGGAGCTTATCTGAGTTGGGCTGAGCCAGGCTGGCTGTGCTTTCTCTCTGTGGGCTCCTCTCACTATTCTGTCTTTGCCTGCCCTGAGCAGCAGGTGGAATTACCCTATTCTCTTCTTTCTTGGCAGCAAGAATTCTCTTCTGAAGGATGCCATGGCTCCAGGAACCCCCAAGGTAGGTGGTTAATTGTGTATTTCCCCACTGCCCTTCCTATCATAAGCCCACCAAGAACTGATTCCTCCTACAGAGTAGAAACTTTTCCTGGGGAAAGTAGGAGTTCTGACTTTCTCGTCTCTTAGCCATGAAGAGAGTCAGAGCTATGTAAGAACCAGGGAGTGTCGGGGACCCATTCTCAGGATAGAAGGACTTTAAGGAGGAAAATGAGCTGTAGCAGGTGAAGAAAAAATTAAGAAATACAGGTCAACACAGTGTAAAGGTATATGTACCAGATCATGAGAGAGACACAGATATATATATATATATATATATATATATATATATATATATATATAGAGAGAGAGAGAGAGAGAGAGAGAGAGAGAGAGAGAGAGAGTTGGTGGCTGGGTGCGTTTGTGCATGCACGCACACACCACTGATGCTTTTTCCAGAGGTATTAGGGATCCAAGGAGGATGCTGGACTCATTTGAAAAGATCATCTGCACCTCTGATCTGACATTATGGGAGAGAGGGCTTGAGAGGCATTAATGCAAAGAGGAAAAGTGAAGTTGTTTACTCAAGGAAAGGACTACAATGCTAAGATCCCCTAAAGGTGACCTCAGAGGCAGATGGCACTGTTTCCCCAAAGGAACTATTTTGAAGATGGGGAGCTAAACACACAACTAAACCTCCCCTCACTGGTATTCTCCTTGCTATCCCCAGGCTGCAATACTCTCATGTCTTATACATTCCTATAACCCACTCAAATGCATTGCCATCAAGTCAAAACCAACTCATAGCGGAGCCTCCAGCAGTTTTTCAAGAGGCTGTAAATTGCACAGGATCATTGGTCCTCTTTCTCTCACTTTGCCTCTGGTGGATTCAAATAGAGAGGTGCCACCTTTGGGTTGCAGTGCAAATCTCTACTCACTCGGCCAACAGAGAGCCCAGAGCCCTGTATGTTCTCATAGTAACTGATGGTGGTGGTGTGTGCTGTTGAGTTGGAACTGACTCATAGCTGAACCTCCAGCGAGTTTTCAGAGGCAGTAAATCACACGGGAGAAGATTGCCTATCCTTCTCCCACTTAGTAGTTGGTGGATTTGAACTGCATGTCTTTGGGATCGCAGTGCAGCTTCTTCCCACTCAGTCCCCAGAGTTCCCTATAGTAACTGGTAAAGGCAGGAATTCCTCACCTACTTTGTAGGAACATGAGGAGTGAGTGTTCAATCTGTTGGAATGGATGGTATTAGAGTATTGAGAGAGATTAATGCAAAAGTCAAGAACTCTGATGAGCATTTGGGAACAAGCTCAGGTACAGGAGAGAGATGAGGAATGGTCAGAGAATTAGAAGGGGGCACATGGTATCCAGGAGCAGCAAATAGATGAGCTCTGGAGAAGGGGCCATTGTACCTAAAGCTTAAGGCCATTGGTGAGGTCTCAAGGAACATTTTGAGACAAGGAGCCAGAGTGACATGTATCACCTTCATAAGGTTGTCCTAACTACTTTACAGATTTTAAAAAAGAATAGGAATGGGGTTTGTACTGTCATTCATTCAGGAAGTCACTGTGCAAGGCACTGAGAAGAGGAAGGATGCAGAGAACCTGAACCTGACCTGCCTTGAATAGCTATAGGCACCTCCCTAAGTCCCTCCAAGGATTCAAAGCCCTTCCCAGCCTACAGGGAGAAGGTGGGGGTGCCAGGCTGCAGTGAGCTCACAGAGATGGAAAGCCACACTATGCGTCAGATCCCACCTGCAGTATTTAATAAGTTATGGTTAAGGAACATCATGGACAAGTTGCCAGGCCTGCTTCCACAACATGGACATCTAACCCCTGAGTGTGGCTGGCAGGGTAAGAAACTGGGCTCCAGTAAAGCCTATGTTCTAAGGATGAGCCATGTCCATAGGTGCACAGAAAGTCAGACATACACACAGAGTCTGCAGCCATGAATGCAGACATATTGACACTCCTTCTCAGAGGTAAGAGACATTTGCCCATCTACTTTTACATGAACTCTCACATCCCCAAAACTGAGCACTTCAGGTTCTGCCCTCTTTCTTGGCCTAGGCTTTAAGGAAGAGGTAAGAGACAGAAGGTTCCAGCAAGAGACTGAGAGGACAAGGAGAAGGAGGGAGGGAGGAGAAGAGGGCGAGGGGGGCCTTAGACAAGATTGATGGCCTCGTTGCCATTAAGAAAAAAATTAGCCGATGGCGGCTATCATATTAAAGGGTGAAGAAGCCGTGAATTATTTTCTTAAAGATCTTATCGCTTACAATGATAATTTTACCTTCCAAAAGGCCACTTTTAATGAGGCGAAGAGCCAGGCAAAAAGTCATGATTTAATGCTGGGATTTTTTTTTTCAAAACACATTTTACTGCTTTTTGGTCCATGTTTAAAAAGCGCCAGTGACCTTTTTTTATTCCGCTTGCCCCAGGTGTAATGCTGAGGCCTCTCAGGGCTTCTAACCTAGAGAGAATGAGAGAGCGGGGGACGGGGACAGGGAGACCATACCAGCACAAGTGTCCTCATGTGATGGGAGGGCGAGGGGGTGAGAGGGAGCCCCCACCCCCACTTCCACCTTACCACCCCCAGCCCCGCATTGTTTTCCTGCTCAGTAGCTTCCTTAGAATCTGAGGAGGAGGAAGAGGAGAACAGTACCTGAAAGCACCATCTTTCTGAGCTGGGGGGCTGTCACCCTTTAGGTCTCCCACCAAACTGTGTGGGTAAAGGAAGGGCTCAAAATTGCAGGGAGTCCTGCGACAGGCCCTTGCCTCCTCTAGATCTCCCCCAGAGGACTCCGGTATGAAGGCAAATCAGGAAGCCCTGCCAGACCAGCAGCTGCCCCTCCCTGCCCAGGCCACTGCCTGGGGATGTGCAGCAGGACCACCGCATGCGGGTCACATCCTAAGGCTCAGTCGGAGATGGAGGATAAATGGCTGTTCCATCTTTCCCAAATTGCTTTCTTTGGGCTGTCACTGGCGATTTGGCATGGTTTTCAAGCCTGGGGAGGCCTCGCAGGGAATTGTATGTTTCCGGCTCGGAGCTGGGCAAGCTGGAGAAGGGGAGGGCGGTGGAAGTATGGATCGTTCCCAGGCCCCCTGGCCCCCATTTGCAGCTGCACAGGCCTTGGCAAGAGTTAGCTCTTGGGCCAAACATGCCATGTGGTATTTAGGATTGTGGTGTTCACACACAATTTAAGGCAGACAGTTTATTAATCTAAACTGCAGGCGTATGTAGAAGAGGCCGTACAGGATTGACATGGGGGGGATTAGTTTTGCTGGGGGTTTTGCTGGGGTCATCGCCGTAGCACGGGGATAAATAGGCCCAGCGTACATCCCTGGCCACACACAGGAAACTCATACATACTATTTAGTTTACTGTCTCCATAGCAGGGCTGCCATCAGCCTTTATTAGGGTGGCAGGGTAGTGGGTATGTGGCTTTACCCTCAATCTTTGATGGGAGTCCCAGAGTTTCTGCTCTCTGTGAGAGAACAAAGCCTGTAAAAGTGGCAGCCCATTGGGAGCCCCGCTCTGCTAGAGCAGTCATTAGCCAAAGCAAGGGCCTAAAAAACAAACAAAAACAATTGCCATGAGCTCTTTTCTAGCTCCTGATGACCCAGGTGTGCAGAGCAGAGCTGCTGCTTGCTCTATAGGATTCTCAAGGCTGTGACCCTTTGCAGATCATGCGGCTTTTCTCCCAAGCTGTAGCTGAGTGGGTTCAAACCATCAACATTTCCAGTGCAACAATGAATGAATGAGAACCCAAATTCTCTGTAAATGTTCATTAAAACTAACAAAATAAAAAAAAAAAACAAAAAAACCATTTGGATTAGTAGCTGAGTGCTTAACCATTTGTGCCACCTAACTCCTAAAAAGAGGTCAAAATGTATCGAGTCACATAGGGAAAGGACACTGTATTCAGAAGTCCTAAAGTTAAGGTTGAGAAAACTGCTTCAAGGAAAAGGAACAAATTGGTAAGCCTCGCATCCGTGACACTGGCCCCCTCGGGGGATTTCTGCCCATTTCTAGAATCAGTTCAACATCTTTCACAGCTATACTCTCAGGATCTGGTCCCTCCATTTTTTTCCCTCTCTCTTACTCCCAAAAGCTTCAGAAGAGGACTAGGGACTCAAGAAGATTGATTGTAGTTCTCATGCAGGCCTGAGACCACATGTCCTTTTTCTTCTTCCAGTCCCTTCTGTTGTCTGCATCTATCAAGAGGGAGGGCGAGTCTCCAACAGCGTCACCACACTCATCTGCCACTGACGACCTGCACCACTCAGACAGATACCAGGTGAGGAGGCTGTGGGGTGGTCATGAGAAGAGAAGGAAGCTCACCTGAGTAAGTGCTTAGTGACACTAATTCCTTTTATCCTCAGGAGCAAAAGGAGGGGCCTGGTCTGTGTTTACTTCACTCTATGCCTTGAGCCTCTAACGAAACCTAGAAACCTCAGCTATCAGGTCGTGAGCCTTATGTAGATAGGTTTAAGGCCCTAATTTCAGGTTTCTGGGCCCTGTGTGCTCTGAGTTCCCTGAAGCACCCTTGTAAGGTAGCCTAGGAGTTTGGTTTCATGAGGGACACAGAAACATACCTCAGAATCACCTATAGTCACAAAGGATCCCTTAAGCAATTACCCCTTCAGTCCTGCCAATATTGGTACTAGATCCAGTACAGAGATTATCACAGAAATGAAACCCTCAAAAATAACAGAATAGGAGGGGTCCTGAATGTAACATCCTAGTTTTAGATGAACCCTCTTTGTGGTAGGAAAAAGAACTTCACCCAGAAGATTGTATCTGAGAAGATGAAGAGCCTGCCCTTGGGAGCTCCAGTCAGATGAAGGATAACAGGGTCCTGCTCCAAGGAATGTCTGTCTAAATGGAGACAGAGATTCTCAGGAGCACCAACTTAGAAAGGAGAAAATAGCACTGGCTCAGAATCCCTGATCTGATGCACAAAGACAGGTACCAGAGACCCATAATCTGAGCTGGAGAACTAGTCACTGCTTACACATATGCAGCCTCTTTTAGAATTAGAAAAAAGCACCTCCTCTGTGCAGGCCAGTTAGAAAAGGAGATATCCTTTCCTCCTCACCTGATACAAGCTGGCTCAGGGTGCCAAGCTTGTGTATGCTGAGTGTGGACCAGACGTCTGCCTTGCTGCCTCTCTTCTGCTGGTTATTTAGGTCTAGAACTCAACTTGTGGAAACCAAAGTGTTGGCCCTGAAAGGCCAACTCACATGAACACTGGTGTGAAAGGGAGAGCTCAGGCCAGCCTCTGAGACGTTGTTCTGCCCAGACTTCCCCAGTTTGAGGCTGAAAAATGACCCTACACTAAGGAAGAATAACAGGGATCTCTGATGGCCTAGTGGCGAGGAGTTGTGCTGGCAGTCCAAAGGTGTGCACTTAGACTCCACCAGCTGCTCCACAGGAGAAAGATGGGCAGTCTCTTCCCATGAAATTAACTCCCTCTAAAACCTCACTGGAGGGTCAGCTCTTGGTCAGTTCCAACTCAATAGTACACTACAAAAACAACTAGGGAATTATAGTCTGAGAGAGAGTCAACGTCGTGGCCCAAAAGGGTGCACAAGCCTTGCCTGGAGAAGTTCATCCTGTCTTCTTCACTCACAGCATTCAGCCTCAACACCTTCTGAACTTGAAAAGTAACCATCAGGCAAAATTTGTCTCAGCTTCTTAACTTCCATCCTACCCCTAGAATGTTGATAATACTTTTATTATCTAGAGAATTTAAGGAAAGCTATTGAGACTTTTGCCTAAAAAAATAATAACTATGTACACAAGGGCTTACATACACATGCACTTGACTACAGCATTTTACAAACAACTTTAAGAGGTTAAGAAACCTCTAGAATCCATCCAAGCACCCTTTAGATGTCTTTGGAGTGTGGGTTAAGAGACAAAATTAGCTCAAGTTCCTTAGCAGGGCAAGAACATGGCCTTCTGAGATTTAAAGTCAACCTGCTATATTCCTGTAAACTCTGATCACTACATGCTAACCACTCCTTGGATGAGCCCTTATTGTCTTGCTTTTTCTGTGTCTTCACATATGCTGTGGGACTTTTTTTTACCTCAACCTCTACCATATTTCTTTTTAAATAAAAAGTGTTTTTGAAGTCAGAATATCAGGAAACATATTTGCATCGAGCAAGTCCACTTTCAGGGATCTCTCCAAATTACTGAAGACAAATTATAAAATGAAGTTTGAAAATGAAGGTGCACCTGATTCAGGCCATGGTCTTTTCATTCACTTGCTGGACAATGAATAAAGATGAAGAATTGATGCCTTTGACTTGTGGTGTTAGAGAAAAACAAATAGATACGCCTTAGAAAAAGTGCAGCCAGAGTGTTCCTTGGAGGCAAGGATGGTGAAACTTGGTCTCAGATCCTTTGGGCATATTGGTAGAAAAAGCTATTTCTTGGAGGAGGATATCATGTTTTGGAAGGTGGAGGGTCAGCAAAAGAGAGAAAGACCCTATGTGAGATGGATTGACATGGTGACTGCAGCAATGGACTCCAGTCTATTGGAGATGGTGACGATGGCACAGGATAGGACAGGTTGTACATAGGGTCATTATGAGTTGTACTCTGATTGCTGGCATCTAACAATCACAACCACCACCACCACCTAATTTCTATTTCACCTTCAATACCCAAATAATCCTCTTCCAGAAACCTTTCTGGATTAGTTATCTTATGACTATTGTGTCACCATTATTTCTCTGTTACCTTATATTGCAATTGCTTGCTTGCTTGCTTGCTTGTTGTTGTTGTTGTTGTTATGTGCCCTGGAGTATTCTGTGACTCTTAGAGAGTCATTGTACAATAGCTCTGAACCCTACCTATCCTGGCCCAATCTCACCTACTCTAACACATGTAATCTCATTGCCCCAGTTACTAGGTCAATCCATCTCATCTGGGGTCTTCCTCTCCTGCGCTGTCCCTTTACCCTTCCAAACATGATGTCCCTCACCAAGGATTGGTCCCTCCTCTGGCCACGTGCCCAAAGCATGTCAGATAGAACTTCAAAATCCTTTCCACCAAGGAGCATCCTGATTTCACCCTCTCCTGGATAGATCTGTTCGTTTTCTTGGCAATCCATGCTATGTTCAATACTCTTCCCCAATACCACAACTCAAAGGTATTGATTCTTTTTCTGTCATCCTTAGTCATTGTCCAGCTTTCTAATAATGTAAAGCATATAATTATGAAGACCATATCCTGGATCATGTGCACCCCAGTCTCTAGACTGTTATTATTGCACTTCAGCTCTCTGGAGAGGTCCCTGACAGCAAACATCCCCAGTGCAGTTCGTCATTTGATTCCCTAGCTGCTGGTACCAAGAGTGTTGGTTGTGGAAACAAGCAAGCTGAAATTGTTAACAACCTCAATCTCTTTATCCATTATGGTAGTGCCAGTGGGGCCAATGGTGAGAATCTTTGTCTTCTTTTTTTTTTATTATTTTGTGTGTGTGTACCATCAAATCAGATCTGACTGGTACAGGAGGAGATTGTCCCTCCTTCTCCAGCCGAGCATCTGGTGGATTTGAACTGTCTGCCTCTGCAATTGCAGTGCAGCTTCTTGCCACTAGGCCACCAGAGCTCCCAATCTTTGTCTTCTTGATGTTAAATGTCAATCCATATTGAAGACTACAGTCCTTAACCTTCTGCAGCAAATGTTTCAGGTCCTCCTTAGTTTGGGCAAGCAAGGTTGTATCATCTGTATAACATAGGTTGTTGATGAGTCTTTCTTTAATCCTGATGCCACACTCCTCCTCATAAAGGCAAATTGCCTGTTTTGGTGGCCTGTTTTCAGTTATTTGCTGATAACTATCTCGCAACCTTGAGGCTTAACAAAATAATGTATCCTTATTATTTCATACAGACTAGACATTTTCTCATGTGTACAGGATCAGTAGGGCTGCAAAGTCCAAGGCGGACTTACCATGTGTATAGGGGGCATTGGTTCCCTTCCACATTGTCTCTGTCCTCCAGTATGTCAACTTCCTTACTTGTCAGTCTCAGGGCAGTGTCACACCAAGAAAGTCCAAAGCTGTAAGGCCATATTGCAGCACCTACACCACTTTGTATTGGGTAAAGCAAGTTACAAAGCCAGCCCAGAACCAAAGGAGGAGGAAGTAGACTCGAACTCACTGTAAGAAAAGCTACAGATAGTGGTTCTATTTAATCAGTGAGCCTGACTATTCTAGACTCAGTCTTCATCTTGTTGCTGTTGTGTTAAGTGCCGTCAAGCCGTGGGCAACTCATAGCGACCCTATGAACGAAAGTCTTCGACACTTGCATGACTTTCATCCTATCTCTATGTTACGGGTTTCTGGAGGCAAGCTATTTATGGAAGTGGATGCCACTCCTGTTTCCAAGCTTGTTTTAATCGGGGAGCTCCACCAAACACTGTCCACCATGGGTAACCATTATCGCATTTGCCACATCAGTGTCACAGTGGTCAGCTTCACAGCAACCACAAGTTACCTCTGTACAGCAAGTGGACACACCAGGGCTACACGACTTAGAAGAATGTTTGAACAAAAACAATTAAGAACAGGCCTGAGAGCCGCAGATTAGAGTCACCCACCTTTGCTTCCTTCCTTAAACAACAACCTAGTACTCATGCATGCTTAGGCCAATGTCCTTGCCTTACACAGTCAGAGACACAAAGACTCAAGTAGACAGTCGTGGCCCAATATTTTAATTGCTGTAACAGAAGTACACATAAGTTTCTAGGATAATAGGAAAGGAAGAAGAAAATAAGAGAAAGACTCACAGAAGATATGATAATTGAACAGGATTTCCAGGGAAGAGTAGGCATTCACTTGGTGGCAAGGAAAGATAGGCATTCCAGATAAAGGCAAGTCTGCATGCACAGGGCATAGAGATGTAAAGCAAAACGATCTATTTGGGTACCTTGTAGCAGTTCAATTTTGTGAAAATGTAACCACAAGTCTTGCCTGAAAGTGAAGAGGACCTGAAGTGCTTTTTGTAGAAGATCACATATACTGCCTTTAAAATGGATTGCATCTCATTAAGAAAAAAATTCTTATCACTGGAACAATAGGCACCATCATGATAGATGGAGAAAAGATTGAAGTTGCCAACAATTTCATCTTGCTTGGATCCACAGTTCACACCCTTAGCACCAGCAGTCAGGAAATCAGGAGACATATTGCACTAGAAAAGTCTACAGTCAGAGATCTCTCCAAATTATTGAGGAGTAATGATGTTAATTTGAATACTAAGATGCATCTGATCCGGGCCATGG